TTTCAGGCACGAATGTGCACCTAAGTAGAACCACTGAAGTTCTGTAAGCTAGCTGGATAGCTTCCTCACATGAAAGAATCCAAAGTCCCTGTTGGGGATTCGAACCCACAGTGGTGAGGGGTAGCATATATCTGTAAGCAATTACCAAACAAATATTTCTTGTTTCAAGTTTTCATAGGAAACTTCTTCATTGTCATCAATTGAAACCATCACAGAGGTAATAGATATATTGTCCAAATCATCACAGAAAGATTATTTGTATAAACATTATTATTCAAGGTCAATTGTGATGAAAGGTCAAAGCTTAATTGAAACTAACCAGTACTAGTGTCACATATTGAAACATAGTTGTTACCTAAATAATAGTCAATTACAGTGTTAATGCTCATCTGTAATACAGTCAATGCCTTAGTATCAATAACCAATTTTTAAAAATAGTTAAAAAGGGACATAACTAAAATAAAATATTGTTTTCAGGATAATGCCCCTTGTCTTACAACTGCAGCTTGTCATGATAATTGTTCCAAATTTTTGCTTTGGTACCTTTAAAATGTTTGAATAATGTGCTTCATTAGTTTTTGCACGACAATGACCATTATGTAGCAAATAAAAAAGCTCGACTTTTTCTGTGAAACAGATAAGCTAGTAATATATATACATCAATGCCAATCAGAGAAATATAAATACTGATAAAGGCTCACCCTTTTCTGTTGATACTGTTGTTTGGCAAGGTTCTGTTTCTGGTACTGTCGCTGGTAGTTGACAAACTTGTTAGCATCCATGGCAATCTCATCTACACTCTCCATCAGTAAACGAAGATTCTTCTCTAACATTGAACTGTTGAAAACGAGAAAATCAGACCTTTAACTTACCATGATTATGATAACTGAAACAAGTGGGACTAAAAAAAGGATTGGAGCACCACACTAAATACTGTATTCCGGTATATACCGGACACGGCGCTTGAATGATAAAATGCTATAATCTTGCCTTTTTACCGAACGGAATGAATTTTAAAAGGTCTAATTCATATTTTCACACCGATTTATGTATGGTAATGAATGAAAAAATTTTAAATCGACAACAATAACGATATTTGTCTATTTTCTGATAATGATTTCGGCAAGCGTCTAGAGGTACTGTTTCAATCCATTATTAAGTTAAATCCAACTGAAACAGGTACGTTTCTGGACCTGTAGTTCAAATTTAGGACAGTTCTTTCAACTACCCTGAATAAATGCTTTCTGCTACTCAGGAAAGTCTCCTGACCGACATTATTAAATCTTTTTCACAGATCAAATTAATTCATACCACAATCATTTTCTTTTTGATTTTGTCTGTAATTTACAATACTACATCTGTCTTGGAACAGAATATGCTGTTTCCCATACTTTAAATTACTGTTGAACTGATACAAAAATTTAAATTTACCTAGTGCCAAGGTCAAGGTAATCAAATGACTGTTTGTCAGAGAGATCTGTATCAAGTTCACACAAAAGACTGTTCACAAGATGAGAGTTCTTGATTGTAACTGGGATTTCTGTGAACATGTTCTCAAATGTGATACCAGCAGCTTTGATACTCTCTGGAGAGAAGTCCTGTTCCCTTGATCCATAAAACTTCATCAATTCAGGTGTTAGTCTATATGCCTTCAGTGACAAATATCCTTGAGTTGTTTTCAAAGGATCTGCAAAATGGAAGTCTACATCAGTAAAGAAATAATTTATACTTAGTCTATAATGTAAACAGATTTTTTAAAAATTCAAATCCAAATACTGATTTAAATGAAAACCAAGAATTACAGAAAAATCTTTCCCTAAATAAATGCCTGGAGATTTATAAACAAGATTACAAATACAAATACAAAACCATCAAGTACATGTAATTATTTCACTTAAATGAATGTTAAAATGAACCTGATGAGCATGTTATTTAGGCTAAAGGCAGATTTAATAGACCCATTACTGTATCAAATATAATTAAGATTGAAATAAATAATCATACTTGCAACCAAAGGTTAAACTACTTGTACTTTATTACAATATATACCTGTATAATAAATTCAATCTAATACATGTAATATTAATTCAGAAGTTTTAACACTGAGTTCAAACATGAACTAGTAAAAATTGCCAATAAAAGGCACAAATATAAGTGAAATGAAAATCAAAAATAAACTGGACCTGTGTGTTTGTAATACTTGCATAACAGATGTGAACAAAAATCAATTCAGACTTTCAAAAGTTATAGTGTTAGAACTAATTGTTTTTTACAGATTGATAAGTAGCGAAATACCATACTACATCCATGAAGATACCTTGCATGTAAAAAACACCACAAAATTTAGACCTTACCATAAATGAGGACAACAGATTCTTCTATAGAGTGTTGATAGTTGAACTGTGAATCAAGCAAGGCCCTGTTAATAAAGCCACCAAAGTATGTGCTCTGATACCAGCCCACATGAAGATGATCAATGTTGACTTTACGCAGATTTCTCATCATTTCCATCTGGTATTGAACTGAAAATATGAGACACAATTTTTACTCTCACAGTTGGACATAGTGCCATTGATGTACACCAACAGGTAAGATGGCGATACAAATGCAAGTAAGTATATGTACGGCATTGTACAAATTATCAATATATTGGTGGGGATCGACAAATTCTCATCTTGTAATTCACTAAAGGAAATGCAATTAATAGATTATACCCAAAAACATGTTAAAGATTGTGTATATTTTCTTGTACTATTAAGGTGTAGAAGGTGAAATAAACTAAATAATAATTTTTTACAATTTTTTACCACATGCTACCATAACACAATTAGACAGAATTAAGTAATGTATTCAACAAACCAACACTTGCTTTGCACATCAAACAATATTTTGTGTTCTGTTTTATTTGTGATTAAAGCTTGAATATATTTTCAAATGAATAAAGAATTTAATTGAAATGGAAATTAATTATTTTCTGTAAGAAATTTCACTCATCCTATAGGACGAGCATTGCCAACAGATTTACATGTCTGGAGTAATTACTACTACTCATAATTTCAAGTGGATTTGTCAAGCCCTGGTGCACTTATTGGTGAATAAAACCAAATTATACTTGTTAAGAATATCAAAAAATTAATATGAAACAAGCAATTATCATAGTATTGCAAACAATCCATAAGTCCCCTACCGGTAAGAGCCCAAGCAACATTCTGAAGGGCCATTGGCCATTCACGTAGGTTCCTATTTTAAGTAAATTTGTTGAAAAAGTTCTTTAAAAGTGATCACAGGAAATAGTTTTTATGTACAGACAGACTGAAAGACACTCTAAAGTTATTTTTTAAACATCCCTGTTATCAAAATATAACATTTTTAAAATCCTATCATGATTGAAGAAGTTGGAGTAAAAATTACCAATTTCTCAAAAAAAAGTCTAAGTTCAAAAGGGGCATAATTCTGGAAATAGTCTTGCTAGAGTATTGAACACTCACAAATGTTGAGTGACAATAAGAAACATTTATATGAAGTTTGAAGTAGATACATTCAGAAAAAGAAGTTATTAAAAAAAACAATGTTTTTTCATGAAAATTTCAAGTTCAAGGGAGGTAATTCTGATAAATTTTGTGCTAGAGTTGTAAACCTTGTCACATATGATGTGGTTGATGACAAGCAACTTATATTTAAAGTTTGAAGAACATACCTTAAGAAATAAAGAACTTATAGTGAAAAAACTTAAAAACTAGAATCAGAAATTTTGAAATTCAGTCTATTTGTTGCCATAGCAACCAGAATTTTCAACATAGGAAGATAAGAAAAGGATGTGAATAATTTCCATACTGCCATCTACCCATATGTCAAGTTTCATAAACATATTTTCAGTACTTTTTGTGTTATCACTGGATCCAGGTTATGTGTAAAATTTGCCATATTTTCAGTCTATTTGTTGCCATAGCAACCAGAATTTTCAACATAGGAAGAAAAGAAAAAGACGTGCATAATCTCCATACTGCCATCTATCCATATATCAAGTTTCATAAAAATATTTTCAGTACTTTTTGCGTTATCGCGGGATCCAGTTTATGTGTAAAATTTGTCATATTTTCAGTCTATTTGTTGCCATAGCAACCAGAATTTTCAACATAGGAAGAAAAGAAAAAGACGTGCATAATCTCCATACTGCCATCTATCCATATATCAAGTTTCATTAAAATATTTTCAGTACTTTTTGCGTTATCGCGGGATCCAGTTTTGTGGACGGATGGACTGACGGACGGACAGTAAACCTAAAGTCCCCTCCGGTAAACCGGTAGGGGACTAAAAAAGCAAAACCTATGAACAGAGAAGTCGTTCATTTTTTACTTTACATTTTCCGATTGATATTTTATGCACAGCTTCTGTTTTCACTTGGAACACCTTGAAAAATGTTATTAAGCAGAAAAGTTTTGATTGTTCCGTTATAGGAATGCTCCGCCTATTATCATTGAGTTACATTGAAAATGGCGGCGCCCAACTATACATGACACTAAAAATTTAATTGATAGGTATAGAAACTATATATTCTTTTATTTGTTTTCCTTTTAAATATACATGTGTAGTCTATAGCCGACCAAGCCAAAGCCCGGGGTCTGCTTTGCAAACAAGACCTTTGACTGCCCGGTATTTTTCAGTAAGTGCAATATATTGATCAGCATTTGTTTTGAAAAGAACAAAATTGACATGCCTTCATCGAAATCCTCATCATCATTGTGTCTAGGAAAAGGGAAACAATTGGTGATCTCTAATTTGTTATCAACAACAAGCCCCAATAACACTCCTTGCACAAGATCCTGACCTGCTGTGCCCTCCTCCTGACAGTGTTTTACTATCTTTAGAACAACCTGAAATGTATTAGAATATGTTAATTTAGTCTTCTACTCTATTTATTGATTTTTACACCTGGCAAAAATTAAGAAAGCAAAGATAAACACTATTGGATTTAATAAAATAAAGTTTTGGTTACCAAAATGAAAAATAATCGCCACTTTAATAACAATATCGCAAATGGTAATATAAAGCGTCGGCTCGGGATTAATAGTCACAAGTAGTACATAATTCATAGAGATTGCTTCTTATTCCATCTGAAAGATAAATAAACATTGACACAAGTACGTGTATTTTGATGTGTATTTTTTGTTTTTACGGTAACGAGAGTACTAAAAACTTTCGTCCAAATACTGAATTGAGATTGACACATTGCAACTTTCCGAATTACAAGATAATGATAAAAACCAAGGAATTCTGACTGAAAACAGATTCGTAGACTTGTCACTTGCACACTTCAATGGGAACCATAATGGGACAAGGAACAAGAATAAACTGAAGCAGTTTATAAAATACTGAATGACACAAAATTGAACAATTATTTTATAAAAGGAAAATCGAGCTCGCTTTCAGGCTTTGCCTTTTTCATATTAATTAATTATACAAGTAATGGTTTACTCCTGAAAAAAAATACATAGGGGCCCAATCCAGGAGATTGCCAAAGGGGGTTGAGGACGACCTACCAGTATCATTCTACAGGTATGACGAGGTCTTAAAATTGTTATTGCCTTAAAGTGCACTTCTATCACAAAATCTTGGTTTTAAACATTACTTTTTAACATTTGCAACGACTTTCCATTCAAGACCTTGGAGGGATCGTAGCAGAAAGTGTTTTTTTAAGGCTTTTTATTTCAATCTGTGTTATCAGACGCTTAAAAACTGATTGTCTCCCGTCCGAATGACAACGATCGAGTCGGGCGCTTGATATCGAAACAATTGCGCTTCTTACTAACCATGATGATAAACAAACTTCAGCTGTTTTCTATTTCCTGTCTGGCGCTAATCTCATTTAATAGTGTGACCTTTGTGTCTAAGAATGAGGGTGCCCATGATCGAGAAGAACAGGTAAAACAGAACTCTACACAAAATGATACATATTATGATATAAACTTTCGGATTATACTTGAACATCTGCATAATACTGATATCCGAATTGGCATACCCAATCGAATTACTACAAGTATGCTATTCTGTCTCCATTTGAAATACACCAGAAGGAGCACGACTCAACCAATTAGACTCCATAGCAGACTTTTTTGTTCTACTATTAGCTGGTGACATAGCACTAAACCCCGGTCCTTTTAAATGTGGAATTTGCTTACGCACAGTAGCAAAAAACCATAGGGCCCTGTGCTGCGACCAGTGTGATAAATGGATACATATAAAGTGTGCTGGTATCGCACCGGCCAGATATACTGAACTGGGAAACTCGGAGGAGTCCTGGTTCTGCCAACCTTGTGATAGCATTAATAATATCCATAACATTTTCAATTTCTCAAACTCTTTGTTCGAAGATCTACAATCACCAACATCAGTAAACTCAGTGTCAATAAATAGAAACATATCAGCGACTGATTGTGATAACCATGTAAATATTAATGACAGTTTCTGTCCGGAGCCAGATCCAGAGGAGGACTGGCTTATTAACAACAGTAATATTTCAACACACACTGAACTATCAACAGACCAGGAAGATTGTGACTCTAGATACGACATATTTGACGAACTCCGCAATATGCGACAAGAAAATAGAAAAAGACCAATCATAAGTTATTTAAATATAAACAGTATACGTTATAAATTTGATGACCTTCAACAAATACTTCATGATAAACTATGTGACATGCTTATAATTTCAGAAACCAAACTAGATATATCGTTCAACAACAATCTATTCACGGTAGACGGATACAAGATGGAAAGAAGAGATCGAAATTCCCATGGTGGAGGGATTATGACTTTTGTTCGAGCCGATCTCCCCTTTAAACGTAGAAAGGACTTAGAATCAGATTCTCTTGAAGGTATTTGCTATGAACTAAGTTTATCTAGGCGGAAATGGGGAATATTATGTCTATATAGACAACCTTCTATGAACGACAATATTTTTGAACACAATATCACCAAATGTCTTGACAACCTGTATATAAACTTTGATCACATCATATGTATAGGAGATCTTAATTATGACATGTTAAAAAAAGATAAGTCAAAATGTATCAGTAATATTTGTGATAACTTTAATTTAGCCAATATAGTAAAAGAACCAACATGCTTTACAAAAAAACCATTCACCTACTTTAATTGATGTAATACTTACAAATTCCAAAAATTTTCTATGTAATACAATAAACTTCAATTCTGGACTAAGTGACTGTCACAACATGATCTGTACTAGCATAAGAGAAAATTGTGATCCTTTCAAAACCAAACCAATAAATTTTAGATCATATAAAAGTTTTAACCATGAAGATTTTAATAACGACCTGGAACAGGTACCATTTCATGTTGCTCATGTTTTTGACGACATTGATGACGTCTACTGGGCCCATGAGATGCTCCTTAAACAGGTCGTTAATGATCATGCCCCTGTGAAAGTAAAAAAACCCAGACGTAACCCTCCTCCTTATATGAACTCAAATTACAGAAAGGTCATCTTTAATACACGTCAGGCAAAAAACACCTTTCTCAAACACAAAAGTAATGAAAACTGGTTAAAATACAAGAAAATGAGAAATATGAAAACAAAGGTTAAAAGGGACTCAATCACTACATATTTTCACGAAAGGTGTGGTGGCGGGCCAAAATCAAAAGATTTCTGGCCTACCATCAAGCCCTTCTTATCACAAAAACCTACTAATAAAACAGACAACCCAATAATACTGAAAAAGTCAGATGGGGAACTCTTATCTGACCAAGCCACAGTTGCCAACACACTTAACTCTTTCTATGTCAACATTGCAAAAAACATTGGTATAGAAGAAAATGAACAAGACACCTTTATACACCCAAGCATAGATAAAATAAATAACAACTGCCCACAATCACAATTTACATTCAATCTGGTCACTGAACAAGATATATCTAAGTCCATAAAAAGGTTAAATCCAAAAAAGGCTACTGGAGTTGATCAAATTCCACCAAAGGTCATAATTGCAGGCAAACCCTCCCTGGCCCGTCCCATTAGAGATTTATGTAATACTATGTTAAGTCAAGGTCAGTTCCCAGAAAATCTAAAACTTGCCCAAGTAACCCCAATTTTTAAAAAAGATGACCCCTATATAGAAAAAAATTATAGGCCAGTAAGTATTCTACCCACCATGTCCAAATTATATGAAAGGGTTATCCATGACCAACTCTCGGGTTACTTTGAGGAAATTTTTCACCCTTATCTGGCAGCCTTCCGTAAATCATATGGCTGTCAGACTACGCTACTAAGGCTAGTGGAAGACTGGAAAAAGGCCCTTGATGAAAACATGTTCATCAGAGCAATACTAATGGATTTATCAAAGGCCTTCGACTGCCTACCACATGATTTAATTATCCTTAAACTTAAGGCATATGGTCTGTCTGATAACGCTTGTAAACTTATGAGCAGTTATCTCCAAAAGCGGAAACAAAGGGTTAAACTAGGGGATTATACCAGCCAGTGGGATAATATTATTAAGGGTGTCCCTCAAGGATCAATATTAGGGCCCCTGGTCTTCAACATTTTCATTAATGATATATTTTACTTCATAGAAAAATCCACCCTTTATAATTATGCTGATGATAACACTTTGTCCTTCTGGCATAAAAATGCTACAGTTGTCAAATCTACCCTTGAGGATGAAAGTAATATACTCATAGATTGGTTAAAATGTAATCAAATGCAGGCAAACCCTGAAAAGTTTCAAGCTATCTCAGTGGGGGTCAAGTCACATACTGAAATTAAGTCATTTGATATAAAGCGGCAGCACTATCCCATGTGATGAACAGGTCAAATTACTAGGAGTAGATATTGACTATCAATTAAATTTTGATGCCCAGGTATCAGCCATTTGCCAAAAAGCCGCAAAACAGTTAAATGTCCTGCAAAGATTAAGTAAATTCCTCTCTGTACCTACCAGGCTTATCATATTCAAATCTTTTATCAGGTCCAATTTCAATTACTGTCCCATAGTATGGCATTTCTGTAGTAAAGCCAACACAGACAAACTTGAAAAAACTCCAGTACAGGGCCTTACGCATTGTTTTCAATGATTTTACATCATCATATGAAAGTCTCCTTAATAAGGTTAAATTACCCACACTCCATCTAAGCAGGTTAAAAACAATTGCAATCGAGACTTTCAAGTGCTTACACAATATATCACCTAAATATATTCAAAACTTAGCCAAATTTAAGACCTCTGTTTACAATTGCAGGTATGATCATATTCTAGAAGTGCCTACAGTTCGAACCACCAGGTATGGACAGAACTCCTTCCGTTTTGAGGCTGCCCGGGTGTGGAACAGCCTCCCCAGTGACATCAGAAGAGTAGAAAACTTCAAAGAATTTGGGAGGCTGGTTGGCACCTGGACAGGCCCAAAATGTAAGTGTTCAATGTGCCGCTTGTAGCCTTTTGTTAAACACATGTGTGTCTAACATGTGTTTGTATGTGATTAACATGTTTTTATATGTGCTTTTATGTATAGTCTTTAGATGTTGCAAATATTATACCAATAAATGTTTAATGTTACTTTTTATTTGCATTATGTGATAGTCCTTGTAATTTCATTGTTTTGTTTTATGCTTTTTATTTTACTTATGCATGGCTTCTTTTTATATATATATCTATTATATTTCTTTTACAGGTATGTACATAGGTGTATATGTATATCTTATTTTTGTACTCTTTTTCTTGTAACTTTTGTAGTTTTTAACTTATCTTAAATTTTTATTTTCTTAATTTCATATTCTTAGATGTGCTTATGCTTATTTTTTATACATGTCTGTCTTTAACTAATATATAACTCTTTTACAGGAATGTACATTATTTATATTATCAGTTATTTGTTTTATCTTGCTTGTAATTATTGTAACTTTTAAGCATGCATGGTGCTATAATAACTTAAATCCATGTATTTAGATGTGCTTATGCTTATAATTTTTAGTTGCTTTAATATCTTACTTCCATGTACTTAATTGTGCTTATGCTTATATTTTCTTTTAGCTGCTTTACTTTTGTTTAGTACATATACTATTGTTTGTCGGAAAATAGCTCATGAGCTAATGTTTTCTGTTTATATGTATCCGACGTAAAATAAATTTTCTTGTATCTTGTATCTTGAGAGAAACAAACGGTTCGACATGTTTTAAGAAAAATCAGCAGATTGTATATCCAATCACCATGATTAAAGGAAATTAATGTCTAAATAATCATATGACAGATAAAAGAGTTTGATGTTTCTTTTCATTTATCGTAGATAATCATTAATTGTACGTACTAGTCCGTCAATCTGGACATATTTCACCGGCGAGTCAAACGTGCGGCCTTTGGACGCCATTTTGTTTTAAACAGGAAGCGGAAAAGGATCTCTAAACTACGTAATACACCGTACTATACCGTACACGATAATAGGTTTAACGCCACAAAATGAATACCAAACGTTTCAGGTCTCAACTCGGTACGGAATTAGACCCAGCCCGTTGTAGTCTAGAAAGTAGTTCTTTTAAATTTTGAAATGGCCTATTTCAAGTCATCTTAATTGATACTGGTTATATTTTAAATATATCTTTAGTAATTGTGTACATTAAGTTTCATTTCTGAGTACTTTAAAGGTTGTTTTTGATGTATTTTTGCAGGATTTCATTTCTGGGTGGAAGGTTTCAGGAGGCACTATGCACAAGAATACACACCAGTTACTATTTGGAATAATCTATAGTGATTACAGAAATTAAAAGCTGCAGAAAAACTCCAAGGGCTAATGTATTATTTTTTTGTGCTGAATTTACTTGGACTGCATTGTTGTTTAAAGAAATGGTCATGAAGTTTCGGTACCGGATTTGCTTTGTGCAGAATTTAGCCTTAAATGTAATGTATTTACTATAGGATATATGGGTCAGAAATTCAGTGGGCCGTCTCCATTATATTAGGTCTCAACCCGGTACGGAATTAGACCCAGCCCGTTGTAGTCTAGAAAGTAGTTCTTTTAAATTTTAGAAATGGCCTATTTCCAGTCATCTTAATTGATACTGGTTATATTTTAAGTATATCTTTAGTAATTGTGTTCATTAAATTTCATTTCTGAGTACTTTAAAGGTTGTTTTTGATGTATTTTTGCAGGATTTCATTTCTGGGTGGAAGGTTTCAGGAGGCACTTTGCACAAGAATACACACCAGTTACTATTTGGAATAATCTATAGTGATTACAGAAATTAAAAGCTGCAGAAAAACTTCAAGGGCTAATGTATTATTTTTTTGTGCTGAATTTACTTGGACTGTATTGGTGTTTAAAGAAATGGTCATGAAGTTTCGGTACCGGATTTGCTTTGTCCAGAATTTAGCCTTAAATGTGATGGATTTACAATAGGATATCTGGGTCGAAAATTCAGTGGGCCGTCTCCTTCAATATTGAGACGTTTCATTCCCAAGACGGTTCACACCTAAACGTTTCACTCCCATTTTGTTAGGTGTATAGACGTTTCACTCCAAATTATTTCTATGTGTGATGTTACATAAAAAACTTGACTTCCATTTCAAATGATGATATATTTTTGTGCTAGTAAAAATAATTCTAAATGCCTAACTTTATTACAGAAATAGAAAAAATTCTGAAAAGAAAAGTGTTCTAACGTAATCAAACATGACTTATTTAATTGAACTTTCTAAAAAAATAATGATGACATGAATAATTCATATATTATAATATAAGTTAGTGTGATAATGTTACAGTAAAAGGACACCATTGGAAATAAGTTTTTAGCTTAATGGACAGTCCTAAGGTAACATAAAACATAGTAATTAATTAATTCTATGATTATATTTGTTGCATTTTTTGTGTGTTTTTATATAAATGCAAGTTGATATATGTGATACTATTGTATGTGTTTATGTATATTCCCTGAATAAATCGATACGATGTACAAACTTAAGCACACACAAATTTAAAGTAACTGCATGATATGCCCCTTTTAAGTAAATTTAATCAATTTTATGGTCAGTTATTAATCAAATACCATTAAACTTTATATCAAGTGATTTTATTTAATTAAAGTATCGAATCTATTTCGTCATAAAAATAACAAATTTACAAAGTAACTGAACAAATTTACATCTACACATCTACATTATACTGCTTCAAAATCGTTTACGATTATACTAAGCAGGCGAGTTGTCTGGTAATACATGTAGCTGTTGAAACAAATGGGTCAAGGGCAAATTTATAGGTATAAGATAAAAAGCAAGTTAAAAGAAAACTATAAGACAGAGATAAAAAGATTAAAGTAACTGAAATGCTTTTTAAGTCATATTAATAAATTTCATGGCCATTTGTTAGTAAAAAGACCTTTAACTTTATATGAATAAGAGGTTAATACACGGCAGGAGAGGGCCGGAAGGTGATAATCGGCCCGCAAAATGAATAATGGACCCGAGGGTCATTATTCATTCAGGGCCGATTATCACCTTCCGGCCCTACGCTGACGTGAATTAATGTCTTTAATACACTTGGTAGATCTAATAGTAGCATTAAAAAAATCAAAACAAATAGACTTTGAAGTTCTTTTGTTGAAATTCTTGTCTACTCTTCTACTGTTCTGTACAGAGATGTTTACTGTTTTTGTGTTCAAAGCAGTAGAATCAAGAAGCATTTTTTCGGAATGAATTTGTCGTATTTTTTCTTCAAATTTCAATAGTAACAAAAATGTGTTTGTACTAAATAGATTCTACGCTTAAGCTCTTATGATAAAAAATAAAGCGATTCGTGCTGACAACCTACTTTCACTTTAACAGTTAACTGTTTGATGACGTAAAATGTGACGTCATTGTTTCAGTTTGTGCACGTGCACATGTTCTGCGGGCTGATAATTAGTTCTCGGCCCCGGGCCGCAAACTCATAATAGGTCACGTGACACTCATAATCAGTTGAAATCATAGGCAATTTTGTTACTATATATAGTAACAAGTGTATTAAAAGATTTTATTTTATCAAAGGATCAATTTTATTTTGGAATAAAAATAGGGAGTAAAAAAAACGTCTTCAAGACTTGTCAAAGTCTTGGTGTTAACCATCTTGGGAGTGAAACGTCTACCTACAAACATCCTATTTATAAATTCCGAAAAGTTCTATTCCTATACTACTGTAACTATGTTATCTAGGAAACTGGGTGTAATGACACATTCTGTTACCCATAAAGGCAGAGACTTTTATTACATATAAAGAACCACGAGTTTTATTTTACATGGCTTAAGATTTTGTCAAATTACAACAGGGTATGTAAAATTTTGTACAACACTTACCTTGCAAAGACTAAATCTGTTTTATTTTAAACTTAATGAATTATTATTTTATGTTATGACAGATAAAATTATATGATAAAGCAATGCATTAATGGTGACGTGGAATCTTCGGCTTGTTCAACGTGATCATCTGAAAATGCCAATACCTATATTGGTTCTGTAACGTGCATCGAGCAAATTACTGACCGATGGTGTACATAAAGGGAGACACAATTTTTGAAGTGTGAGCCCTTTCAAAAATAAATAATACCCGCAAAACTGTCGATTATTGTATATATGAAAATGCTCAGTTCTATCACGGATTTATATGTAATATAAATCCGTGGTTCTATGAATAACAACAGGGCAATATTAGCTCTTCTTGAAATAGTCTTGCGACGAATACTATATCTTTTTATATGTCAGTTACCATAAAATCTTACTACCGTACACGTATACGTATTTCCATAAAATAAAACATACTGTACGTATATATTATATAATCAGATCATTTAGTTCTTGAAGCAGACGAAGAAGAAGAAGGAAAAAGAAGATTGAGGAACAGATGATGAGGATGATGATAATTATCATGATGATAAAGTGGAGGCATTAATGAAATACTTCTTTCTAATTATATACGATGTTATTTCTGTATTCAACTTTTAATATTACCATAGTGCTATAATATTAATTATCGATTATATAATGTAAGTCTCTGATATAACAAATCCGAAATTATTGCTAATTATGTGACACATTTTTTAAAAAATTAATTGAATGGTTAATAGCATTTTTTTTTTTTATAAATTACCTGTCAATCTTTAATTGAAACAGTATGTTTTATTTGAAAATTAATTAAAAATATTTAGTAGTGTTCAACATTGATATTGTATGTAAAAGTTACTTCCCTTTTATTAACATTTCACCATTTGCAATCGCATAAGCGCAGGAGAAAACTAGAGCTGTCATTGATTCAGTGCAAAGCATATCAACGATATATCGATATCAAGTGACTAAAATCAACGATACACCGATATATCGATAATATCCTATACTCACTTGTCTGTCATTCACTTTCATACCTGTTTCAATGATTTCAGTCAAAAACATATTCTGTACAGTGTCTTGTCCACTGCATGATTTTTTCCAGTCACCATTGCTATTAAATAATTCCACTATATAATAAAAGCATGACATTAGATATAAATAACTGCTTCTGTATATATATTTTGGGTGAATTTTATAATTTCTAGACATTTAATTTATTAGTCAAAAGTATCGATTTTTTAAAATGTGTATCGATTATTGATCGGCAAAAAAATATCAACGATACATCGATATTGTCGATATCGATGACAGCTCTAGAGAAAACTGATCACCTGTGAACAGATATATAGCTAAGATATTGACAGAAATATATATGCAATATAGCTCTATGATATTGAAGAAGGAAGGTACCAGATACTAAAACTTTTCATAAAATGTACTGTATTTAGTCCTATAAATATGACGTTGCTTTGAGGTATTTTTTTTTAACTTTTTGGCAAAGCAACGATAAACACAAGTAAACTGTAACAAGCCCATAACTTGTGATAAATTGGACAAGTACTGTATCATGAAATGAATGAAGAATCACTGGATCTCTTAGCACAGAAGTTTAACATTTAGGGGTTTAAATTTGATAGATTATCAATAAATTAGAAAGGAGACAGTACAGTAAAATATTAGCCGGCTAGTGGATTTTCTTTATCGAATGATCATTTTATTCAGGGAAATATACATAAACACAT